AAGTATATTTTTGTGCCAAGCAAAATTACCCAGTCGCGTAAACAGAAGGGCGAAATAAGTAGACCATCCTCCTCTTGTATAGGTTGTTGTTCGGGATCTAAACAAGAAAACCCTGATGAGATAAGGCCTGATGCTGATTGAGTGCTATTTGAGGAATCCCGACCACGATCACGATCAGTCGGAGTGTCATTTCCGAAGTCTGAGCATAAAGCCTGCTGATGCTGAAGCGATGTATATTGAATATGATTGTACGGCTGATTAAGATGACTTTGATTTTGCTGATGATTATTGGATGGATGCACATACCCTACTGCATGAGATGCCGAGTGATTTTTATGCAGACAATTGGAAGTCTGACTTGCCGCAGCACTAGAAAGGACGGGAGGACCGGCGCTGACTCGGAGCTGCGGCACTGGTTGGGGTTGGCAAGATTCAGCTGAACCACTTCCAGCCATCTGGTGGAAGCTACGCCATGTAAGTGGCCCATCTACTGTGAAGTTGTATTCAAGAGGGCGAGTCGAAGAGATCGCTTCGCGCAACCATGGACGCATGGTCTTTAGAAGAGTGAAGAGACAAAAGGTGAGAATAAAAGTATTTATCTGTTATAAATTCAGCAAATTTATTTATTAAATTCTGAAATAAAAAAAATACATTTGGTTGTTAAAGATAAGTGCATAAGTAACGCACTTATATTGTAGGCGACAAGATGCTAAATTCTAATACAATGAAGCTTTATTAGATGGCAATTTAGGAGAACAATTTATCTAAGTATATAATAAAACTGCTACTTCTACAAAAAAATATTATCAGTCTGGCCCATTCGTATTAAATGCACACGAGTCAAAATAAAACGCCAAAAGAAGTCATACATATCTTAATAAGAGCATAATAAGCAGGTTAGTATTTTTGGATCTGATTATAATATACAAGCGAGAACTTGAGAATAAGGCATAATATTGTTTTAGAATTCTATTGTGTCACTTATACCAACTCTTTATAAACTAAAGTTTTTATTCTAATTACCAAACAAACTCGAAAAATCTAGTAAATCAGTATTAAGGTACAAAATATTTCGCCAACAACAGAATCCTGTAGCCATTCAATTGCGAGGCCTACATGAAATTAATAGTGGAATTAGCCTCTTTTAACTAAAATCCATGACAGGATGTCAAAGAATATATTCGTCAGAGTGAAAAGACAAAAAACTTAGGTCTGTTTATAAAAAATGAAAAGACAATATCAAAACAGGTAGCTGCCTTAAGTTACAATAGATAGATCAAACGTCCAAAAGGTCAATCTATCA